AAGCACAACTCTGAAGGAAATATATTACTGTAATGTTACAGTTAAGAACACTGGGAAACTCAGCTTACATGATTAAATATTTAGTGTCTACTGGAGCCAATGTTAGGAAGTTTATACATATTATCTCTATATAAATCATCAAATACTATAAAATAAGTGATTTTGTTCTTATAAACTGAAAGAAAAAGCTGGCATATACTTTATATGTTTTGTCTCTAAGATTCAAACCCACACTTCAATTACAAATTAAATGAACATAATCACATTCTATGAATAGATGCATGGACCATTGCTTCTTGTGAACTCACTTATTGATGCAAAGATGTTTATTTGAAAAGTTATAAAATCAACTTTGCTACTGGTATTTACTATGAACAAAAATAACTTTCAACATTAATGATGGTGTTGAATTTTAAAAGTTTGTAATATATGAAAATATGTTTCAAGAACACATCACTCTTTATAGTAATATAGCTGAATCTCACACATATTTGAAAGAAGCCTGTCACAAAGCCAAGTGTACTGGATGACTCCACTTGGGTGAAGCACAAAACAGGGAACAGTTCGTGCTATTAGTATGAAGGTAATGGTTACCTTGGTGAGAGGTGACCCTGCAGTGACAGGAAGGTCATGTCTGGAATGCTGGCAAACAATCTGCTTTTCATATTGGTCTTGACACTGTTATGAAAACATATCATAAATGACCAAGGCCGGGCCCATTTAGTAAGATCCAGAGAACCAGAGAAGAGATTAGAAAAATAATTGAACAAGGTATCACATGGTGTAAATATTTCCCATCACCATCCTTGGCCTGATTCTGTGCCTCCATGGATGAAAATGTCCAGACCATCCTTAGCTCCTTGTTCCATTTTACAGTTGGCTATTGAGAATTTACCATAGAATTTACCCAGAATTTACCCAGAACCCAGAATTTACCATACGACTGATCACTACTCTTACAAAACTAATGTTTAATGGAAAAGATAAACAATAAATATTCTAACATATCAGCTAGTGTTAAATTCTTTACAGATAATTTTATAATGAAAACATCATACAGTGACTTGGCTGTTGCTTAAATTGGGGTATTAGGAAAGACCTTTCTGAGATTAGAGAGAAAAGGAACCATTAAATCTAATAGATGGAATAAGAGCTGCGAAAATGCCCAGTGGATCAGCGCTGTTGCTTACCTGACCTAAAACAGGGGAAGGAGGGGCTGCTGAGTGTTTTGGTTTTTTGTTTGTTTGTTTTTGCTTTTTGTTTTTTTGTTTTTTTCTTTTTGCTGCTTTTGGACCAATTTGCCTCTTGTATTTTTCAAAGTGACTTGAAACTGTGTGGTGTTGTAAAAGGGCTATTGGATACACTGAAATTGAAAGAATATGTTAGGCAGAAGAAAATTCATGTAAGATTTGGTTCAGCCTAAATACCAGATAAAGGCTGGTTGGACAATGAAGAGGAAGTAAGTCCAAGTTTGTTAATGCAGAAGCATTGAGAACACAGTTCAGTTATCTCTTCATTTTCCTTATTTAAGTGGGAGTGATTCAACATTTCTCTAGAGGAATCGTATTTCCTCCTTGTAGTTCATGTGTCGGGCGTGGGGTGGATACTGGTTCCTTTTGTCAGCTCAGGGACTGATTCATTTCTACTGATACTCCACAGAAAGATGAACAAATATTTGCTGAGCTTGGCGACAGGTATCGGAGCTGCTATGATGAATGAGGGATTATCTCTGCCATCAAGAATCTCGCTACCTGGAGAGAAGTCAGCACAAGGAAATAGCAATTCCAGTACAGAGCTGGAGTGAGCCTGGGGCCCAGGAAGTTACCTCCTGATGGGGGAAGTCTTCGGTACATATGTTTCTCTTTTTGGTTGATGAATGAAACACTGTTGGCCAACAGGGAAGCAAGATAGGTGGGGCTAGGAGATAAGGAGGATTCTGGGAAATGTAGTCAGAGAGAAGTTGCCATGTGATCCCGGGAGGAGAGGACACATGGGTTTGGTGTTCTGGGTAAGATAAGACCTTGTAGAAATACATATTAGTACTACAATTAGTAGTTATGGATTAATACTTAAGATAGAGCTAGACTATAAGAAATCCTAATCACCAGTCAACAGCTTATAGTTAATATACTGTCTCGTGTGTTATTTGGGGGCTCTGAGGCAGCTGCAGAACCAGGTGGAAATCCCACAACAGCCTCCTTTGGGGAAGGAGGTTGGGAGAGACAGAGTATCCTCCCCAGGAAATTCAGCACCTATATTAAGACACAAAAATGGGCATGGGTTACCAGGTGACTGTGGGGTATAGAAAAGGGGAATAATGGAAGAAGACCCTCATGGAGAATGAGAACAGACTTGGGTTCCAGTGAGAGAGTAAATGACATAGTCAGAGAATTTCTAGAAGTCCATGGAGGGAAGATAGCGCCCTCTGCATGGCAAGATGAATTAAGAGAACAGAGACTAGAAGGTGAGCTGGGAGAAAGCCTTGAAGGGCATTGTCAGTTACATGAGCTGGTCCCACTCTGAGTGGAGTGCAGAGTCCAGTCCAGTTTTAGAGAGGGGAGTTGCAGAGTTTCGCTCTAGAGGATGGGACAAGCCCAGTGATAACAAGGCTCCTTTATTTGCCGATTGTGTGCTTTCTGTGCTGGCATACTGAGGAAAAGCAAGGGATGAAACCGACATCCTCACTGCCATGGAGACACATCAATGCCCTTGGGTTTTATCCAGGGGTCAGCATGGGATGTGTCCTGTATCCAGGTCAGTGAGGGATATATATGAAGGTTAGATGGAATGCAGAAAGACCAGGCAGGGACCACAGTTTCTGTCAGCAGCTGACAGAGACAGGGGAGGGGGCATTAAAAAAAGGGGGGGAAAGGGGACCTTCTTTTTAAGAAAAATTGCTTATTTTATGTGTATGCGTTGCCTGGGTGCATGAATGCATAGCACACGTGTGCAGCAGCTCCTGGAAGACGGTGTGAGGGCAAGGCATATTCAGTGACTGGGTGTAAGTGGTGAGGGAATTGGCCTGTGGATTCTGATGGGAGTGGCAGAGGAGTGAGATGCTTTTCTTACACTGAGAGAGAAATTCATAAGGTCTGGATGAAGAAGGTGAATGCAGTGTTATAGAATTATATTATTTCCCACCATTGGGAAAACAGCCCAACGAAACCAACACAAATCAATACCCAAACAAGTTTCTGAAATGTATCCCTAAATTTATGTATTTACTTTTGGTGAAAAAAAATAGGCTAATTAATCATTTGCCCAACCTCTGATCATATTGTTTATGGGAGATGTAGTTCTGACTTTATGCAGCTAGGGTGAGAAAGGGTCCTACTATGGAATTATGCAAAGGTGACTCACCAAGGCATAGCAATGAATTTTCATATGAGGTGGTGAGTAGACACTGCCTCATGAAAATGGCAAGCAGCCTGGAAGCTGTGAGTGCCTGTGACCATGTGACCACTCACCCCTCACTCAGAGCCTTCACTTCAGAAGCACAAAGATGACCTCTGAGCACAGCAACACGTTTGTTAACCAAAGTTGAACTTTCTTTGGACCATCAACCCCCAAATAATGATACAGAAACTTCTTATTACGGATGAAAGCTTGTCCAAAGCTTAGGCCTGTTCCCAACCAGCTCTTAAAACTTAAATCAACTCCTTTATATTAGTCTGTGTTCTGCTCTGTGGCTGTGACTCTCCATACTGTACATCCCCATCCTCCATGTCTGGCTGGTCATAATGATACAGAAACTTCTTATTACGGATGAAAGCTTGTCCAAAGCTTAGGCCTGTTCCCAACCAGCTCTTAAAACTTAAATCAACTCCTTTATATTAGTCTGTGTTCTGCTCTGTGGCTGTGACTCTCCATACTGTACATCCCCATCCTCCATGTCTGGCTGGTGAACGTCTGCCTTTCTCATTTCTTCCCAGAGTTCCCATCTCTGCCTGGAGTACCACCTGTCCTCTTCTGCCTAGCTATTGGCCCTTCAGTTCTTTATTAAAGCAATCAGAAGAGTGTTCTACAACAGTGTTCTACAACTTTAATGGAATTGATTTTAATAAAGAAAGAAGAGTAGGTAAACAGAGAATATATGTACACACAATCTTTTCAATTACTTTGGTGAAACGCAGCATAGACTAGTAAAGATTCTGCAGTTAAGAGAAGTTTAATATGAAGAATAAGGAGTATTATAGGAACATACATACATACACATACATAAACATGGAATTAACATATGAGAAAAAACAGGAGAGATTAGTCTGGGACACTTTGCTTACATAATGTTTTCCAGTTCTGTCCATTCTCCTGCAAATGTCATGACTCCATTTCTCTTCATGTGCATCGTGTGCCCCATGTTTTCCTTGCCTGCTCATCTTGATGGACATCTAGGGTGTTCCATTTCTTAGCCATCGTGAGTAAACATGGATGTACAAGTGTCTCTGTGATAGGACCTAGAGACTTTTGTGTGTTTACCCAGGAGAGATTCGTCTGGGTCATGTGGTACTTCTTGTTTTAAACTCACCAACTTCCATTCCCACCAACCACGAGTAAGGGTGTCTCTTTCTTCAGCATTTGTTGTTACGTGAAATAAACCATATTTGTATCAATGCGGTCTCATCAGAGGATTCTAAATGCTTTCTATGATGCAAATCTATTCTTCTTAACCTACTTTCTTTCTTTCCTTAACCGATTCGTTCTTTCCTATTGTATCTTGGATACTTAAATAGACACTTTGAGTTTCTACAGGAAATCTGAAGTATCATTTCAGAAAACTTTGGTATCAGAAAAAAAAATACAGGACTAGAGATCGATATAAAAATAGTTTTTTAATCACTGCTTGTGCTAAATGAATAAAATTATAAGCATTAATGTTGGTAGCTTTTCATGAATGGGTTGCTGAAAGTATTCTTTTCAACCCTCTGAAGATTATTTTTGAGTTCATGATCACATGGGATGGATTTAGAAACACGGAAATATCCTTTTGTTCATGATGCTTTTCAAAATGTTGTTACAGCTCTTGATGAGGATCTTCTGTTCTTTAAAATACAAACAGTGGCACTTACAATAATACAAACCAGTACAACAGCGCCCACCACAGACAGCACTATAGTGGAAATACTAACTCCAGAGTGTGGACTTCCATCAGGACTGTCAGGACTAGGCTCTGCTTGAGGGGTGAATAGTTCCACTTGTGCTATGTTGGACAGTTTTGAACTCAAATTGCTTTTGTCGACACTTTTAATGGCAATGAATATGTAGGTTGCATTTTCTTCTGAGATGTTTTCTGGTTTAAAGGCAAAGGTTTCCTTGGAGTTGGCTTCATTGGGCAGTAGGTTAGTCGTATTAACTTGAAGAGCCCCGTCAAAATTGTCTCTTAGGTCAGTGACATTTTCACTTATTCTTATGATATACTGTTGAACTAAGAAAATAGTTATGTGTGGGTTAGTTGCTGCATCATAGCATATTAAATTTCTTTCTAGCTATTCTCAAAAATGTTTAAGATGCAAAGTATGCTCACATCAAAAGTCTTATTCATTTTTCAATAAAAACTGAGTCTAGACTTTTAAACACTGCTAAGCGCTACTATCTTTGCATGAAAAGCAAGACCTATATGATAAAGTATAAAATACCAGATCATAAAATTCCTACTTTGCTGAGTTCTCAGCTAAAAATCACTCTCTTCTAACTGACCCATCACTATTGCCTGACCCTGGGCATCTCTCACTTAAGTCAAACCCACACGATTCTTTGTTCTTACCTTTTCCAACATCGAAATCGTCTCCAGGTGCTGTCCATGTTAGAGTGATCTCTTCCCCATCACGTACGGCCTGGAGGTCTGTGATTTGGCTTGGGGGGTACTGGTCAGACAATGGACCAGATGGAACATAGGGTACCACAAATCCATTTCCAGTTGCTGTTCTTCTGAAATTCTCCAGGACTGGCTGAGTATCCTCGGTTGTTTCAGGTCTGGGTTCGTTCCCTTCAATTTTGCCTGTGTTTAAAATTCTCTAGTTTAAATTGGATGAAACTGTGCTAGTGTTTTTGGAACTCAGTCAATCAGCTTCCTGACCCTACTTGTTTTTTCATTCTTCTTTTCCTTTCCGTTTGTACAGCAGTATTTTTACTATGTGCTACAATAATAAGCATTCAATTAATGGGAAAATTCTTCCTCCAGAATCCTTACCAGGATGCTATCAAATCAAACTGGACAACAGCTTCCTTTGAAATGAAAACTGCACTAAATGAGAATTTTATATAATTTGTTATGTGAATTAGCAAAACAAAACAAGATAAATCCAAAACAAAAAGTTGGCATTAAGCCTAGGCTGGCCTCAAAGGCACTTGCATAGCCAAGGAAAACATTGAAATCCTTGTCCTGCCTCTGATCCCTCAGTGCTGGGGTCACAGGCATGTGTCACCATGTTTCGCTAACATATGCCTTAAGAAAAGTATTGCTTTATTTCTCAAGTTATTTCTGATTAGGAATTTGTCTGGGGAAATAAATGTCAGGCCTACAGCCTTCCCGCCATGCTGAAAGTGCTAAGGGATAATGCTCCTGACTTACTACATTGCTTTAAAAAGACCCCTGAAGTCACAAGGTAAGTACAAGGAAAAGAAAGCTTAAAAACATTGAAGCTTATGTAACCCAAAGGACAAGATTTTCCCACTGGTTTGCACTTGTGCTCATAGCATAGTGGGCTGTTTCCTTTGTCCAGAGCTGAAAGGTTAACACATCATTGTTGACACTATGTTAATACTAGCTCGTAGGTTTTCAGTGTCTACTGGATGCCAGGCTTAGAGTTTGGGTTAACTTAGAGACAACTATATAAAGGCCTCATTCTAGAAATGGGGAAAGTTATATTTTGAATTGTGAAATGTTTGGCGTCTCCATCATATTAAATCATGAACATTGCTCCCTGGGTTTATGATACTGTGAGCTACTCACCATCCACTACCCAGCCGGGTATGTAGGCAGCCCTGCCGGACAGATGCTGTAAGCTTCTCCTGGCAGAATTTGCTCCTCCATCAGCCCGTACTTTTAAGCTATAGCTGCCATTTTCTGAAGCTGTGAAGTACCTGGAGTAAACACCATCATTCTTGAAAGCATCAGCCCCTTGTTAAAGACAGAGATAAATAAATTATAATCATTGTAACAAATGAGGAGTTGGGATGCTTCTATTGGTGTATTCTCTACCTGTGCTTACTATTTCACATTACATTATTGAATTGTATACCCTTGACTCACTTTGGGATGAATACATCTGCATTCATATAACACACTTACCCACAATGATAATTGTGTGTATATAATAAAAACTTAACACCTTATTTTTCTG